TCATCGTCCTCCAGCTCCACATCATCCATTTCCTGGAACAAAGACTCATCTATCTCCATGTTGTTTCTAGCATCCTCCAAGAAGTGGATACCAGACGTGTCAAGATTATGATCTGTTTCAAATAGCTGTTTCCCACTTTATTTTTTCCTGCTTGCTTTTCTTTCATCCGTTTCTTTTTAATTTCTAAGAGTTCTTCATTAAACTTGGCCTTTCAACTTAAATTCTCAGTTGTAACAGGAATGCCATGGAATAATCGCATTTTGGCTTGTTCTGCTTCTTTTTCTGTTTCTTTTCTTCCTCTCTTCTAGTTTTTATCTGATCTACTATTTCATTTAATTTTTCTTGCACAGCTATTACTAGAGTAAAGGTCATCACCACAGTGAGATTTTCTTTGGCCTGTAATGCTTATAATTTTAAAAGGTCTGAAATACCATTATCTTCTTGATTTTCCTGGAAAAATGTTTTTCATATTTTATTTTTTTATTGAAACATAATCGATTATACATATTTGTGGGGTGCAGAGTTGACTATCAGTATTTGTGTGCAATATGTGATGATCAAATCAGGATAGTTGGCATATTGGTCATTACAAAACGTACTCATTCTTTTTGTCTGTTAGCCAGTTTCTCTCCAAGTCCTTTCCCCGTGGGAGAATGTTTCAAAAGGGGAGCATCTTTTTTTTTTTTGGCGGCTGGTGGTTTTGGGGTAGGGGAGCTTGATCTGGAAATTTTTCACCATATCTGAACCTGAGAGAAGTCTAGACAGTTGCAGTATCTTCTCTAGCTTCAGTTGTCACAGTAATGGTGAAGCTGGATGGATTTTCTGATAATGCTGTGAAGGTTAGGGGTAGGTGGACTAGAGTCTCCAGCTCACTGTGTTGCTCCTCACCGTAATCCATCATCGTTGTCCTGGCTGCTGCCCATGGATCACCCAGACATCTGGGTGGTGTGTTGCAGCCGAGACCGCAGCTGCGCAGGGCAAGTGGGCGGCAGCCAGACCTTATGGTCAACTTTTCTAAGATATTAGTTGTTGGGTAGGAATCCCAAGAAGCAAGAAATGTTATTCCCTTGCTCTGGTATATTTTTCACAGGTTTTATTTTGGAGAGTACTCCAGGAAAAAGAATGGCTTAAAACTATGGGTTCTTTGGGTTTTTTTGAATTTTTGTTTTTTTCCCCAAATACACGTTTTATCAAACTGACTTTAAAATGTTTTCAGCAAATTATTTTTGGAACATTGTTATATATATTAGACCTTGACGTCCCTAATTTTTTTGGTATACATTAGAGTAGCTTCACTATTATATTCTAAAGAGGATTTTGGTATTCTTGCAGTTCAGACGTTTCCAAATGAACTGCAGACCATGTCAGTATTTTCAATAATGAGAACCAAAATAAGAAAAATAAGGACAATGTTAGAAGTCTATCATAAAGTTAAATGTATTCAATTAAAAGTATTCTACTTTTCCTTTTTTTGGTGGCTGGGCCAGTTCCAGGATCTGAACCCTTGACCTTGGGTTAGGAACAACTCTGCTCTAACCAACTAAGCTAACTGGCCAGCTCTCTTCCTATACTTTTTAATGATGTAGTAAAATGGTAGTTAAAAAAAAATTTTTTTTAATGTTTTTACATGAGGTTGACCTTTCTCCCAGATCAGTTAAATCATATGATGCCATATTTAGTCATCAAGATAGCAGGGCCACATTCCATGTACATGCCAGAGAATACATTAACAAATTCACTGGTGTACAATATCTAGCAAAAGCATATCTGAGAGAAATTTAATTTCAGATAATTGCTTGAAAGGTGTTCAGTCTGTCTTCCAGCTACATACTCAAACATCTTCCTCTGGATTAAACCAGACTAGTGGAGAGTGATGTTCCTGGACAGCCACATACTGGCCTCCTGTAGAGTTGCTTTTACTGCTCTGTGACAGGATGCCATTGGCTTAGGCTGAGAGATGCTTTGTGAAGTTACGTGATGAATCATTTCTTTGGGTCTTCAGTAAAGCTGTTAGTGAAGGGTTTAATAGCTGTGTTACACAGCAACCTCTTTATGCGGATCCTTGAGGGAGGTTTCTTTCTAGTCCTACTATAAGGGCAAGTTACAATTGTCTTGAACAACAGGCTTTGTTTTATTTTATGGCCACCATGAATTATGTAGCTGATTAGGTTTCCTTCTTTAGGGTGGGCATATAAAGTTTAAAGTCATATTTATGGCCATTACAAATATATAGTTTTTTTCTTTGAATAGGCTTTGTAACTTTGATTATATTTTTCATTTATTTATTTTTGAATAAGTAATTCAGTCACATGGTTAAAAAATCAAAGGTGGCAAAACGCTGTATGATTAAACGGCACCCTTCTACCACTTTCCTATAGCCACTCTTTTCCGTTCCCTGGAGGCAGCCATTGTTATCAGTGTCTTATGTATCCTTTTGAAATACTTCATACATTTATAAGCATATACATTTATATACCATTTAAAAAAAATTATTCTGTTTCTTTTTAATAATTATAAAATAATACGTGCTCATTGCCAAAGATTCAGAAAATGAAGAAAAGATTAAAGAAACCAAACGTCTTCTGTAATCTTATTACTCAGAGATGGTCACTGTTAACATGTTAATATTTATTTTCCCAGATATTTCTCATTGAATACATATTTATCCTCTCTCCCTGAAATAATTAAATGAATGGATGCTTATAAAAATTTTAAATAAAAAAATTTTTGGTCTTGTTTTTGTAGCTGGCTAGTACAAGGATCGAACCCTGGACCTTGGTGTTTAAAATAAAATTTTATTATATTTTGCATGCTGTATTATTGTTAAAGGATATTCCAGGTTCCGGTGGCTAAATCCGAGTTCTTGGTATCTCAAACGAAGAATTGATGAGATATGCCAGAGGTGAAAAACAGAGAACAGTTTTATTTAGTAAAAAGAGTATACTCTGGAGAGGATGGAGTGGGCTCCAGCGAAAGAGTGCCTCAAGAGCCCCGATGGTTACATTCCCATGGGTTTTAAGTCTCCTTAGCTGGATTTGTGTCGTTTGATCATTGGGTCAGCCCTGAGTGTAGTCTCTGTCATGTTGGTTAAAGTGATTGGTGCCCTAGCTGGTAGGAGCTCATTGGTCCAACCCAGTGGTGCCCTAGCTGGTACGGTGCTTCCTGTCTGGAATGTCCTGTGGCTGCTTCTGCGCATGCCTACGTCCTCAGGGAACCAGTTCTTCCGCTTGCAAATAACCAGGTTTCCTCCTCCCGCTCTTGTCTGTATCTAACTTCCTGCCTCATTACGAACTGGTTTCATGTAAGAATATTTCACAGACAGCTTTCTTTCAGTAATTATATATCTTTAGTATATTCTTAATTTTAATTTTTAATTTTGAAATAATTTTAGATTTTAAAAAGTTGCAAGAATAGTACATAGTGTTCTTGTTTTCCCTTCACCCAGTTTCTTCTAATGTTAACATCCTGTATTACCGTAAGTACAATAAAATAAACCAGAAAATTAACATTGATACATACTATTAACTAATCTACAGATATTAGAATTTTACCACTTGTCCCACTAATGTTTGTTTTCTGGTCCAATATCCAAACTGTGATCCTACTTTACATTTAGTTGTCTTGTCTCCTTACTCTTTTCCAATCTGGGACACTTCCTTAGACTTAACATTTTTAAGAGTACTGGCCACTTATCTCTCAATTTGGGTTTGTTGGATGTTTTCTCATGATTAGATTGAGGGTATGCTTTATTGGCAAGGTTACCACATTTTTGGCATGAGGACCACAGAAGTGTTTTTTATTTTATTTATTTATTATTTTTGGCAGCTGACTGGTACAGGGATTGAACCACAGAAGTGTTTTTATCCTCGTCTCAGTAAATCATGTTAGGAGGTACTTGATGTTGATAGGTTAACTGGTTGATATTTTTTTACTGATGATGTTAAATTTGGTCATGTGATTAAATTAGTGAATGCCAGGTTTATCCATGTAAAGTTATTTTTTCCCCTGCAAATATTCTGTTTCTCATCATATTTTCATCCACTAGTTCAGCATCCATCAATGATAGTTGCCTTTCACAATTATTATTGGGGGATCTGCCAAATGGTGATATTCTATGCCATCTTTCTCCTACTTTTGATAGAATTCTCTGTAAGGAAGAACTCTTTTTTTCTCTTGCATTTACTTATTTATTCAATTATTTATAGCAGTATAATTTTTAACTATAAAGTGGTCCATTGTACATAGATATATCTCTCTATATACATATATATCATAATTCATTTAAATAAATCTCCATTAATGGGCAATGGGGATTATTTCTGATTTTTTAGTACTCTGAGTGCTATAATGAACATACCTCTCAGGGCACTTGTCCAGTTATTGTATATCATAATTCATTTAAATAAATCTCCATTAATGGGCAATGGGGATTATTTTTGATTTTTTAGTACTCTGAGTGCTATAATGAACATACCTCTCAGGGCACTTGTCCAGTTATTTCCCTAGGATAAACTACCCTAAGAACTACCATTTCTGGGTCAAAAGGCACACACTCAAAAAGTACATATTGCTCACTAGAAAAGTTAATATAAATGTCCCTCAAACAAGCAGCATATGAGAGTGACTGCCCATTTCCCCACACTATGGCAACATTTCTCACCAGCATCTAATTTGTTATCTTATTGTGTTTTGGAATCGGACAGAATGTACACGAATGAAACACTTTTTAGAGTGAGTAGAAGTTACAAGGAGGTAAGAGAAAGCTTGTAGTTGAACATAAAACTTTCTCATGAGCACTACCCCACAATGGAAAGGGATGGAAGAGCGTTCCCCACCACTGGAAATGTTCAAATCAAGACTTAAAGCCGCTCGCTGAGGATGAAGTAAAGGGAGATAAACTCTGAGGCCCTTCTTGGTCCTGGGAGTATCTAACACTTTGGTTTATAGCTGTCTGCTTATGTCTCTGAAGTCTGAGTGAACTTGGATATCTTACTTTTCAGTGGTTGAAGGCCTTTCACTGTTGGACTTGGGAGTATCTCCGTATTCTGGAGCAGTATTTCATGAAGTAAGTGTTCTTGTTTTCTTTTCTCGGTGCTAAAGGTAGTTTACAGTCACAGATACCAAAGCCTAAACTCTGTTTTGTACAAACTTTTAAAAAGGTCTCTCTCGGCGCAACACCGAGGGTTGCAATCCCGTTGCCGGTCCCGGTCCGGTACGGGCGCGACACTTAGGGTTGCGATCCGTTGCTGGTCACGAAAAAAAAGACAAAAAGGAATAAAAAGGTCTCTCTCTCTCTCTCTCTCTCTCTCTCTCTATATATATATATATATATATATTTTTTTTTTTTTTGACTGGTAAGGGGAGCACAACCCTTGGCTTGGTGTGGTCTGCACCATGCTCAGCCAGTGAGCACACTGGCCATCCCTATATAGGATCCGAACTCACGGCCTCGGCGGTACCAGCGCCGCACTCTCCTGTGTGAGCCACGGGGCCGGCCCTAAAAAGGTCTATTTTTGAAAGTCCTATTTAGAAGTAGCCCTGTTTTAGATATCCTCTGCATAAGAAAAAGGTTTCACACTTTCAGTGGAAATGATCCAGATTAAGATTGAAATTTGGGGAAGCACGTGAGCCTTTTGTAGAAGTCACCATTTTTAATGGCAAATAAATGTAAACAGTCCCCACTCCACGAATAGGATGTATGCTTATTGGCATGTAATTGGTTCTTTGGAACATGCTTTCCCATGAAAACTGTGACAGCAATGTTATTTTCTTAGAAAGCCCACCAAAAAGCCTATTTAACCCATGAAATTAGTTCTTAAGAATAGTAAAAACACTCTTAATTAGGTCACCATCATTTCTTGCTTGGGTTACTGCAACAGCTCCCTGACAAGTCTTTGTGCATTCAGTCTTGCTTGTTTACTCTTTATTCTGCCGTCAGAACCATCTTTCTAAAATGTGAATCTGATTTTGTCACTGTCTTGCTCAGCGCCTTTGAATGCTCACCATGAACCTCAGGATAAAATCTAAATACCTAGAGGGTCCTGCAGACCCTCACCATATCAACCACGTTTTTTTCTCCAACTATATTTCTTTTCACTTCCCTTCCCATTCTTATTGGCCATATGTTAAAGTCTTTGAATTTGACAGTTTACCCCTCATTTTTATAGTTATCTCCATCATATGTACTTTGAGAACAATTTTTTTTTTTTGGCTCTTCTATCTAGTCTTTCAAAAACATTCAACTTGGTTCTCATAGAAATAGCAACTGTCTTTGTATTCATATTTTATTATCTTTATACTAATCTAATAAACTGCAATAATAACTACTGGCAGAAACAGGTGAGGAACAATTTAAGAGACTCTTCATAATTCACACAATTCAATTATTGGGAACAGGTGTGTGGGGGCGTACCGAAGAGTGGCCCACTAGCTACAAAGGCTCAGTGTGTTGTGGGCCTTGGGCAGTATGTTTTCTAGACAGAATAAGAACCTCCTGAGAGAATTCTGACATACTCTCATTATGCTACACCACCATATTCTCTATTACCTAAATGTCTTTGCTTGTGCTATTATCTCCTTATGGAGGGAGGGCCATTCTTCCCTCTTTTTGTGGTTGGCTCTACTATTCAGATACTACTTTAGGTTTTACCTCTTCCAGAAAGCCATCTCTCATCACCTTAGACTAGGTTAGATGTTCCTCCTATATCTTCTAAGGAATCTTGTGAAGGACCAGCTCACTTGGGAGAGTGTGGTGCCGATAACACCAAAGCCAAGGGTTTGAATCCCTATGTAGGGATGGCCGGTTAGCTCACTTTGGAGAGTGTGGTGCTGACAACACCAAGTCAAGGGTTAAGATCCCCTTATTAGTCATCTTTTAAAAAGAAGAAAAAAAAGAATCTTGTGCTTATCCTTTTCATGGCTCATGGCTCATATCACACTCTTGAAATTGCCTCTGTACTTGTTTTACTCGTTGTGATATACTCTCCTCAAAACAAGTGCTGGCATCTCTTCTTAATTATTCCTAGTGCCTACCTCTATATCTGCATATGCATTCCAATCTCTTCCTGTCTTCTCTCCTTCCATTAGTAGAGATTTGTTAAGTGTGCTCCAAATGCCAGCTACTCTGCTAGGTGCTAGGGACAAAGGACAAAACATAGTCCCTAATCTCATGGTACTTATATTTCTGAGAGAAAGAGACAATAAATTAGTAAAAAAAAAAAAAAAAAGAAACAGATTTCAGAGCAAAGAATATCACCACAGATTAAGAAGTTCATTTCATGATGATAAAGGGGTCAGTTCATCAAGAGGACATAACAATTCTAAATATTTATGCACCTAATAACAGAGCTTCAAAATATGTGAAGTAAAGACTGATAGAACTACCAGGAGAAGTAGATCCACAGTCATCGTGGGAGATTTCAATATCCCTCTCTCAGTGATTGATAGAATAAGCAGAAAATCAACAAGCATGTAGAAGATTGGAACAACATTATCAACCAACTTGACCTAAATGACATTTATAGAATACTCCATACAACAACAGCAAAACACATATTCTTTTCAAGTGTACATGGAACATTTGCATGATAGACCACATTCTGGCCCATAAAACAAGGCTCAAAAAATTAAAAGGGATTCAAGTCATGCAAAGTATATTCTCTGACCTCAGTGGGATTAAATAAAAAATTAATACCAGAAAAATATCTGGAAAATTCCCAAATAATTGGAAACTAGATAACATATTTCTAAATAACCCATGGATCAAATAAGAAATCAAAAGGGAAATTAGAAAGTATTTTGAAATAAATGAAAATGAAAACACAACCTATTAAATTATGTGGGATGTTGCTAAAGCATCCCACATAATTTAATAGGGAGAAGCATTTAGGGAGTTTACACTACTAAATTCCTTTATTAGAAAAGAGAAAAGGTCTCAAATCAATGACTGTTGCTTTTACCTTAAGAAACTAGAAAAACTCAGTTGGTTAGAGCGTGGCCTTTTAACACCAAGGTCAAGGGTTTGGCTTCCTGTACTGGCCAGCGGCCAAAAAAAAAAAAAAAGAAAAAGAAACTAGAAAAAGATAAAATTAAATTCAAAGAAAGCAGAATACAAGAAAATAATAAAGATCTGAGCAGACACAAATGATAGAAAACAGATAATAGTGAAAATCACTGATAAAGCTGGTTCTCTTTAGGATGAACAGTAAAATTTGATAAACTTGGGAATGGTGGGCCGGCCCGGTGGCGCACTGGATAGTGCGCTGCTTGGGAAGCGCGGCGGCGCTCCCGCCCGAGGGTTCGGATCCCACATACAGACCGGTTCCCGCTCACTGGCTGAGCGAGGTGTGGGAGCAACGCCGAGGTTTGCGGTCCCGTTGCCGGTCCCTGGTCCGGTACGGGGGCAACACTGAGGGTTGCGATCCGTTGCCGGACACGGAAAAAAGACAAAAAAGACAAAAAAAAAAAACTTGGGAATGGTATATATGTTCACTATCTTGATTGTGATGGTTTCATGGGTGTATAAACAGGTCAAAACTTGTCAAAGTGTACACTGTAAATATGTGCAGTTTATTTTATGCCAATTATACCCCCATAAAACTAAAGTTGAAAAATAATATGATTTCAGTCACTCATGTTAAGTGTCACATAATCAAACTGAAACTTTAAGGGATCAGACAGATCTCAAAACAGTCCAGTTTTTTTTCCTCCCCAAAACAGGAGATTCCAGTATAATAAGGAAGTCCCTTCTGCTCTAACCATTATGAAAAAGTAACCTGATGTTAAGCAGTTTTTTCCTATTTCCTTGATCCCACCTTGAAAACCTACTGTTCTGCTATTTCCTAGTGGAATTTGAGACCAAATAAGACCATTTATGATGGTGACAGAAAAGGATGTCAGTGCCTACAGTTTTGGTAGGAATTATTAAATAAAGGCGGGAATTGTTAAATTAAGTTTGACTAAAAGTTTCTTCAGACATAGTGAACTGTAACCTAACTTGATGTGCAGACTGTAACCTACTCTTGTAACAGATAGCTGATTCTCAGCCAATTACAGGCAGCCAACTGTTCAAACCTCGTTTAAATAAGGCAGACATCCAGCTGGAACCAGTCCAGCTGTTTCTGTGCCCCACTTCCAGTTTCAGTATGTCACTTTGATTTTCAATCTATAAATCTTACCCGAATACGTGGCAGCTGCAGAGTTGCTCTGAACCTGTTCTGGCAGCTGCCTGATTAACAAGTCATTCTTTGCTTAATTAAACTGAAATTTTAAAAAAAGTGATTTCAGTTAATGGAAAATGTGTTCAGAAAAATAAAGCTGGGTAAACAGATATAGATTGATGCTCATGTGCGTGGCTGTTTTAGATAGTGTGTTCGTAGAAGGTACTCTGAGGAAGTGAAATTTGAATAAGAGGTCAAAATGAAGTGAGCAAGCCATATGGAGGCCCTGACTGGGGAATGACCTTGGCATTTGTGAGTTGGAGAATGATGGCCAGTGTGGCTAAGGTAGAATGAGCAAAAGGAGCCAGATTATATAGGGCTTTTTTTTTTTTTAAAGATGACTGGTAAGGGGATCTTAACCCTTGACTTGGTGTTGTCAGCACCACGCTCAGCCAGTGAGCTAACTGGCCATCCCTATATGGGATCCGAACCCGGGGCCTTGGTGTTATCAGCACCACACTCTCCCGAGTGAGCCACGGGCCGGCCCCAAAAGCCATTTTTATCTGTGGTACATTGGTAAGTAGGCAGCTTTTTTTTTTTTTTTTTTTGTGGCTGGCTGGCCCAGGGATTGAACCCTGGACCTTCGTGCTATCAGCACCATGCTCTAACCAACTGAGCTAACAAGCCAGGTACAATATATAGGGCTTTTTGTAGACATGGTTAGGAGTTTGGATTTATTTGTTGTGTGATAGGGAGACACTGGAGATTTTAAAACCAGGAGAAAATGATTATATTTATTTTTTATGTTTAATAAATATTGCTGTGGTTACCATAAGGGAAGTGGACTCTAGCACAAGAGCTTAAGCAGGGAAAATGATTAGGATGCTGTTGCAATAGTCTAAGTAGG